CTAAACGTAGGGGGAAGACCTAGACAAAACGCACGACAAATAGGTGTGTGCACGGGGCGGGGAGGGGGCGGGATGAACGGTACTCGAAAATAACTTTTGCCTGTTCATAATAGATGCAGTAGAACCAGTGTCCACCGCCCCAGACCCAGACTACGCCCCGCCGGACAACGCGGCGTCCTCATGCCCCACCAACCTTGACCGGGGAAGAGTGTCGTCGCGAGCCGGCTTCCGTATCCTTGCTTCAAAGGCCGCCGAGACGGGGGATGTGGGCCCGAGCCACACAACCCTATGGCGCCAGAGACGGCAGGAGCGGGCCGCGGGCGCGGAGGGCATCCGCGAGGCATTTCAACCTAATCACCCTCTCACCGTGCACTGGGACGGTATAAAGCTGCCCCCTCTGGATGGGAGGCCCGTTGACGGAAAGGACTTCGTCGAGCGGCTCCCCGTCATTGTGACGGGTACGTACGAATTTGAAATAAACCTGTGAACTGTACCATCGAGTGTGCTCATTTGACACTTATTTTTTTTATTTTTTTAAAGGAAATGGGGTTGATCAGCTTCTGAGAGGTGGAGTGATTGAAAGTGGGACGGGCTTCGCACAGGCAACAGAAGTGATATCTGCCCTTGATGCTTGGAAATGTAGAGAAAGAGTCACTTCTGCTTGCTCAGATACAACACTATCGAACACTGGTTGCAACATAGGCGCTGTGGTCCGTATGGAGGAAATATTAGGGAAAACTCTAATATATCTCGCTTGCCGTCACCACATGCTAGAAGTCATTCCCAAAAATACCTATGAAAAGACAGTCGAGTGCTCGACTTCGCCTGACATTGGCACGCTGTGCAAAGAATTTCGCAAACAGTGGGAGCATATCAATCAGCATAATTACAAACCAGCCACAGAAGATCCCCGGTGTGCTCATATTTTGACGGTACAGACAACGCAAAAAATCCTGCAGTTTGCAAAAAAAACTCTAGAAGTAAGCAAAACTTGTTGAATTATGTTTCCACAAAACGAGTGCCATTTTGCTAACCATACGTGTTTTCCAGAGACCTGCAATACGCTGTGATTACAAGTATCTTCTAGAACTTGTTGTCATTTTCCTTGGAGAGGTACCACCCACCCAAAGAAAGGGTGTTCACTTCCAGCCTCCAATTGCTCTCTCCTCAGCCAGATTTATGGGTCGAATAATTTACTCTCTTACGATCCAAATGTTTGCTTTGACAGGTAAATTACTTTGCCTCTCTACTACATCTATTACGAAAAATGCGTTATTAATATTATTATTTTTTCGCAGATGAATATCAAATTCCAGATACAGTTTTAACTAAAGTGAGGGATTTTAATTTATTTCATGTGGTGAACTACCTGGAGCCTTGGTACACTGCTACTGAACCACTCACTGGGCCACTCACTGATTTAAATTTGTTAAAAAAAATAGCAGAGTACCAAAGCCTGAATAGGAAAGTGGCAAAGGTTGCTTTAGATAGTTTCAAAAACCATCTCTGGTATCTATCCCCACACTGTGTCCCCCTCGCTTTGTTCGACAAACGAGTGGCGGATGACACAAAAAGAGCAATTGTTGGCAAATTGGGACATAAAGTTGTATGTGTACCGATAGATCTCTACCGCTATTATGACTGACCGACTGACTGACTGTTATGACCACCTGAATATTTTTCACAGTGTGCAGGTGGACGTCCTCCCATGCGGCTAATGTTACCCAAAACAATTACTCAAAAAAAGTTAATGTCCCTTACCCTTGAAGACTGCGCAAACGAGGAGAGTATGTTGTTCTTTAGTGCCTTTTCACTAGACAAGAGTTTTCTGGACAAAGACCCTTCGACATGGCCGACTGACAAATCATATCTAGACAATAGGCAATTTCTGGATAAACTACAGGTCGTAAATGACACGGCAGAAAGAGGTGTTGCTCTCGTGAAATATTTTAATGAAAAGTTGACAAGGGATGAGGGCGATTTTCAAAATCTGTTGTTGGTAAGATTTTATGATTTTAAAAATAATGAATACAGCTATATAAATATCCTGGAATTATATGCATTTTATTTTTTTGCAGGTTCAAAAGAAAGTTAAGTCCGAGGAACAGAGCAATGCCCTTTCCTTGACACATTTCAATTCTGGAATAAAAGATGAAACCTAACCTCTGCCTAAATATATTAATCCCTGACGCTAGCCTGTCTGTGTCCAATGTATGTGACCCGTACGATGCTCACCAACGAGTAGTTCCCGCCGCGCCGCTTTCAAATGGCGCGCGCGAGCGAGCGGAACTAGGTGGCCGGTCCGTGCCGAGCCACGCAAGATCTCTGGGCTGCGCGCCGCATCCAAACGTCCGCCCGGCGCGATTCGGCCGGCCGAGATCGTTTAGTGTCTCTAGCGCCCACGGATCTAGTGCGCTTAGTGGCCAGAGTGGTCGAGGAGTTCGGGGACGGGTCAAGCTTCATGGGGATACTTTTGTTTTTTTTCTGCGACCAATCCCCCCCCACCCCCCTCACAATTTGTAGTCAGCCAATTTCTTTACAGTGTACGGGTTTGGGTGCGGCCCACCGCAGCCGCGACCCTTCCGTTGTCTAAAGGTAGCCCTTCGGAACATACCCTGAAATTTTCATATCGATACTAGTACCCGCGGCGTCACAGTGGCGCGAGAAGGGGCGAGGAGGTGGGGGCGCTCGGCGCGGCCGAAAGTTTCAAACGCGTTGCGCAGTGGGTAAACGATGTCGTAGGACAACGGGGGGGACGGCGTTGGAATCAGACGACCTAGACGCACCTAAAAATCGTCGACTGGACAAAATCAAATTTTTTTGAAACACCCTAACCATGAATCCTAGACTCAAGTGCGAGACACCATGTGTCCTACACTTTCAAGTGCGAGACACCATTTTTAGCCCGCTCTTTTGCTTAAAAGCTATATAAGCGGGCTTATGCCATCGCC